GTAACATTAACGAGAATCTTTAGAATATCTTGGTGTCTTTCCATTCTGTATCCAACATTGTGATAAAAAATAAAGATTACACATTGTAATTTTCAAGAGAATGAGAGAGGTGATCCCCAAAATTATGGGTCATGTATAGAACCAGTGTGAGCAGCTCCATAACTTATAACTTGGAAACATTACATTGCCTAGAGCCTCTTTCTCAACAGAACCACATATTTTCCTGCTTTGTCTTTGACCCAATTCATATTAAATATTAGACAACATGTTTCAGAGGAGGTTTATATATCTTGCTTGTTTTTTTTTCTTTTTATTTATGAAGGCAAATTCATTGGGCTTAAATTTGCTGTCAATAGGCAAAACAGCCTGTAAGAACTCAGTACTGATGAAGCACCTCTCAGTACATACTTCTTGGAGAAAACATGTTTCAAAGTGGATGAGGTGCCACAAGAAAACACATACATTCACGCAGTACTAAGTGCATCTTCTGAGATAGACCCATGCTCTGAGCAGATGCACTTGGCCTTGCTGGTCCTAACCTCGTGCGACACGGATAGCACAGGTGTACTTTTGAGAACAATGGGGGCTCTAGTTCTCACAGCTGTGTCAGGTCTGAGGTTTCTCCATACGGGGGAAGGAAGGAGGTTTGTGCACAGAAGGCCAGGGACTCAGCAGGGCTGTGCTAAGCTGCTGGCACAGAGATACACTGCAGAGTCCTTCAGCTCCAAGGCACTCAAGTTCATTTCAGAGCTGTAATTACTGAACTGGTGAGCAGAGAACCGGTCAGGGACATTTCCTTTTTCATTCTGTGATCCCAAGGAATAGTCAAAGAGGAACTGGATGCCCTGTCCCAGAACTTGTTGATACCACAGCACACGGTCATGTCCAGAGAGAGGGGTACATCGCAGTGTCACTTGTTGCCCTCTTGCTTTGATCAAGTGTCTAGGCATTTGTGTGACTCCGGCTGCCTGCACTGCTCCTGTGGGAAAAATAGATAGTAATGAACCAGGAGAGAGCCGTGGATCTAAACCTTAAGGATCTTCCCTTAAGGAAGACCAAGATAATTGATCTGGTGCGCTCATAAAGGGCATACTGTCCTTGTCTTCAGACTCACCTGCTCCAACGAGACAGAGCATAGCCCAGGGGAGGAGCCAAGGACCCATGGCACAGTAGCAAGCAGCAGGCTGTTCTCTGTGCTGGCATTAGTAAGAGCTGAAATCTTGGTTTGTTTTTCCTGATTGGGTGACCATTCTGTGATGTCACTGTACTGATGTCCTCCTCCGTCAGGCCTCCCATAGCCTATGTTCCTAACATGCCAGGTTCACACAGCTCAGCTGGTTAAGGATAGAGGCTTCTCAGATGAGACACTGACCCTGAACCTGCATTGCAATGGGCTCCTAATGGCCCCATTTGCCTCCCCACCTGCTGCTTGCCTTGCAGTGTGGTGAAACTCACAGACCTGCTTGATAGATGGTGATAAAGGACCTGTGATTAATCCAGCCCCTCACCGCCCACAAGACACACATCACTGCCCCATATCAGCCATGCTTGATGCTGCCTTCAAACCAACATTTCTCTATTTCCTTCCCCTGGCAGCATTCCCTGCCTCCTCTGAGAGGGTAGAGATATAAAGTCACCCAGACAGAGTCCTGTTGAAGCCAAAGCAGCATGGGATTCTTAACGTAGTGGGGTTAGGATTCCTCAGAAACGGGGCTGGCATTTTGGTTTATCAGATTAAGCTTCCACCTGCTACTCCAACATATCATAGGGTTACCAGTGCCAGACAAAGATACAATACATGCAGTGCAGCTCTCTACTAACAAATCTGATAAATTAGTGGACGATAAATTAGTGGACGATGTAACACATGTTTTGCCCCAGGCCCATCTGGGGTACTCTTTGAAGCTCCTGGTTCATGACTCTGAGTGGTCCAAGTTTGGGAAGTAACCCTGTGAATGGAACACTTTCCTATCGTCTGTTTACATCTCTCTCTCTTTCTCTCTCTCTTCTCATCCTTTTAAATAAATAAAGCAAACCTTAAACAACAATGGAATCTTCAGAAATGATCAAATATCTTGACAGCGCAGAAATGATCATAAACTTACAGCACACAATAGGCACTTAAGGAATGCTCTGCCCTGGATAGGTCATGTCCTTCCCTTCACACCCATCCTGCCTTCAGAGGCTGCCCCAGTGGATTACATTAACCTGACCCTTTTCTCTCCATCTCCCCAGTGAGCAGCTCAGCTTCTGTAAGACAATGGCAGGAAAGAAAGGTGGAGACAGAAAAACTAACACTCCTTGTTTTCAAAATCCATTTCCCTCACTCTTCTAACTGATTTACATTTCACAGCCAAGGGCACTGCACCTTGCAGCCATCCTTCTCCCAAAGCCCTGTCACACACTGCCCAATGGCTTATATGCCTTTTTCTCTGTTACAGGCCAACACAAATAAGAGCTGCCATGTGTGTTAGCCCTTAGCCCTGACTCACCTTTTAAATAATACCATTATTCTCCTTTTTCAATTTTTCCAGTGCCTTCATAAACTCACAAGGGGAAAAAATGAGCCCTTGGAACTCTATGTTGCTGTTAAGAAATAATGCAAGTTCTGACATCTGCATTGCAGGTAACACAATTACTACTGCTCTGCAATTACTAATGAACACAATTTGTAACACTGGGCAGTTAGCACTGCTGAAATCTCCCATCTGCTGGTTTACTCCCCAGATGGCCACAGTGTCTGGGACCGGGCCAACCAAAGCCAGGAGCATTGTCTTCCACCCTGATCTCTCACATGCGTGACATGGGCCTAGATACGTCGGCTATATTTGTATGAGATGCTGTCATCACAAGTGATGACTTAAACCCCTGTACCACAAAAGCAGATACTATATGATTGGAATATATATAATCCAATAGAGGAATTTGCCATGCAAACTAACTAGGTGAAAAAATTTATAAATCAGCTTAAGTCACTGAGAAGTGATCAGGGCTGTTACCAAAATATGCAAATCTAGACTTAGATAAAGTAAGCTAGAATGACAAATTTGTCCAAAACCTGGTGAAGATCTACTGTTGGATCAAAACTGAGAACAAAAGACTGAAAAACAAGGAGCAAAAATCCTACCCATGGAACGCCGTAAACTGTCTAAGTTGAAATTAGTCATCACCATCATTTTTTCTCTTCATACTTCAGGTTCAACTTGCAACAGATTGTATAATCGGTTAATTGATTTTATTTAAATAAGGAGCCTGCTCCCCTCTTTACATGTTGGGTCCTAAGTGAGCCAACGCCCCCTTTTTTTTTTTTTTTTTACAGATGTGAAGGCGTGCACAATGTACAAGCATGACCAGGTAATTTCTATTTGGTTATTATTTCTAGAAAGTGAAGTGAGATGCAGACTTCAAGTTGGAAACTACTATTCATCTGCTTTACAAAATGATTAGACTATTCCAAACTGAGCAACGTAACAGCTGATGACATTGCTTGCGTAGTGACGGACTGCAGCTCACCCTGACCTTCTAGCTGCGCAAGGTCACTTCAGACTGGGATGCTGTTGCTGGGACATCCTGAGAAAGCCCCAGAAGGGGCAGTCATTTTTTTTTTCTAAGTGGAGTCAGGGCCTTCAGGAGGAAGAGCCCACACTTCAAGCTCATGGCTGTTCCTTTGTGCAGAGAAGGGCTGATTCTGTAGTGCTATGGATTCATTGCAAACACAGAGGTGAAGGGAGGTCTGGTTGGTGCTGGCCCATTCTGGGGCAAGGGAAAAAAAAATCTTTTTTTTTTTTTTCTGGAGACACTGTGCCCTTGTGTAGCATCCCATTTGAAAACAGCTCCCATGTTTTCTGAATAATGAATCAGTCTTAGGTCCTGAACTGTGGCTTAACAGTACCAGAACCCTGAACAATAAATCATGAGCTGAGATTTGTTTTTCAGTGCAGTGTCTTTTTCCCTGTGTGAATAAGAAAAGGTATCTTAACATCTGGGAGATTCTAAGTGGAGTTGCATGCCAAACGTGATTCCTAGGAAGTAGTGTCTCCAGGGAGGAAAGGAAAAGTCCACATTCAGGATTAGCAAATCCATGGACAGGATTTCTCAGCAGAGAGCAGAGCTCACCTGTTCCCAGGAAACTAAGGCTCACACAGAAGAGGAGGTTGGGACTTAGGGAGGCCATGGCATGGAGGGAGCTCTCCTATCCTAGTCCCATGGTCTCAAGAATAAAAGCCCTGTAACACACAGGCAGGTGGGGCTGTGGGTCACTCCTCCATCCCTGCATTTCCTTCCATCCCATGGTCCCTCACTCTGAACTCAGCAGGATCAGTCATTCTGGACATTGTAGCACACATCAGGCCTTCCTGGAAGATGAGGTGTAGCGGCAGCAGCACATTCACACCAGAGAACACCACACATCACCACGATTTCCCAGGTTCTGTGGAAGTCATCACTCTTCTATCTGCACCTGCCCTCACATCAAGGCTGCCCTATCAAAACCAGTCAACTGTGAATCTCCTTAAAGCCTAGAGGTTGCACCATACCAACCACCTCTTACCTAGCTGTGGGTAATTTAGCTATAAATGAAAAAGCCAACATCTGCCGAATTTTGGAACCAAACCCAAGTTTTTCTTAACCCTTTATTTGTCACTGCTCTCCAAGACTTTTTAGAATACCTTATTCTCACTGGCAACACAGCACCCCCTAGTGACCAACACATGAAATGTGTGCCCTGTTTTTCCTTTATTTCCCCCTCCTGAGGATGGTTACCTATGGAATTGCGTATATAATAGGATTATCCTTTAGATGGCTGCAAATCTGTGAATGGCTTAACTTTTCTCTCATATTTTGCATGCATTTATTGCACTGCATTCCATGGAACCTAGAGCAATCAGGGAACCATGATTGTACCAAAAGTGTAATTCAGGATGGTAACAATCTGTCAAAGGATGGCAGGGCTCCAAATGTACTTCTTCATTTTGAAGTATGAAGATCAACTACCACCCTCCACTGAAGCTCGCTCAGAGCTGCCAGGAGACAGACGGATGAGGTTTGTGAGCAGGACGGAGCTGGCAGTGCCACACTGTGGCTAAGCTGCTGGCACAGAGGTACACAGCTGAGTCCCCAGGCTCTGCAGGCTGGATGTTCAGGGTGGATGAAGATCCCTGGGGCCTCTTAGCAGAGAAGCGCTCCCCAGGCATGCCTGACTCGTCGGCAGCACCTTTACCTTGGAAATAAATCATCAACTGCAGACCTTGTCCTGGGGTCTGTCGGTACCAATAGAGAACATTATGACCAGACTCTGGGTCACACTTGAGAGTGACATTCTGACCCCTCGCTGTGACCCTGTGCCTGGGGTCCTGGGAGACTCCAGCGTCCGTGTGGTCTGTGGAGACAGAATTTGGAAACAGATGAGCAAAAAGGTCTTACTTGTCATCCACACACACTCATGTGTGTGTAATATAATACATGTATATGCATATGCCCAACCACACACAAATGTACATGTGCACACATACTGCACACCATGAAACTTCATGTCTGAGGACTCACCTGCCCCCAGGAGACAGAGGACCACGCAGCAGAGCAGCCTGCTGCCCATGGCAGGAAGAGCTGAGATGGGAGGCTCCACCAGGTCAGGGTCCTTGTGGGCAGGAACAGAGGAGGAGGAGGTAGAGGGGCGTCCTTGCTCCCACACAGTGGTTTGCAGGTGACATCATTTCCTCTGTCACTTCCCAGTAGTACCTCAGGAACACGAGACTCATTTGATGTGATAGTTGAGGTCTGAGTTAAATCTTTGCTCCACTTTTTTTTTCTTGTAGTTTCATGTTTTGGCTCAGCAGGTTTTACTCCAATACTGTTCATATACAATTATCACAAATTGCCTCTCTGGGTATCTGCTCTCTGGGGACCATCACTGCTGCATCATTTGAGTTGTGGCACATTACTATGGAGCATCAAGGGTGAAATCGCTCTCTCATTCCAGGAATAGGATTTCTTGTAAACACTCCTACTCCATTTGGAATCATCCTTATTTACCAAGCACACATGCGCTAATTGATTAGCCAATTATTTCCAGATCATATTTTTTCTGGGACCATTATCTGGCTTTTAATGTTTAATTTTGACAGGTCATCTCAAATGCACACTCAAATTATCGAGACACATAACACACTTGGTTTACCTTCTAGTACAATAGAAACCTTTGTCTTTATCTTTCTTGCAGTGAGCTTTTCTTTCCTATTGCGCATGTATTTGCTGTACTGCATTCCAGGTAACTTACTCACATCTGTGTTTGACAAGAACAAATCTTGCTTTAATCACATGTAATCTATTATTTAATTGACCTGTTTTGACCTCAGTGAGAATATTTTGTATATAATCTCCTTTTGCCTCTTGTCATGCTTCAATTTCCTTTTTAGAAATTAAATTTGAACTTTTATACTATGGCATGCTTTTTTTACATACTGGCCATGTCAAGTATTTCATTCATCTTTGTAGCCTCAGTTTTCGCTAGTTTTATTTTACTACTCTTCATGGTGCAAGAACTTCATCGTTGAAGCTTCTAAGTGGCTTGCATTAAGTGTGAAGAGTTACAAGAGTTTGCTTATTTAGCAGGTGTCTACAGCCTCTCACGCAAACACATGAGCTTAAAAACTGCCTCCTGCACCCTGGATTGCCAATTAAGTCTAAAGTATTGGGTCCCGATATTGTAAAGTGCTCTGAGGGCTGTCTCAGTGTTAACTCTAGAATGGAGTTCTGATTATTTATTCCTTTTCAATCATATCATCACCATGAATTAGGCCTCATGATGTTATGTAGTAAAGACATTCAAATATATAGGTATTTCCTTTTTTCTCTTTTTCCCCCCCAGTCCCACACATAAAATAATTGCCTTAGTATCTTGGATCCATGACAATTTATTTTATTTATTTAAACATTTATTTTATGTATTTGCAAGACAGAGTTGCACAGAGTATGTGAGAGAAGCAGAGAGTAAGAAAAATCTTCCATCTGCTGTTCACTGCCCAAAGGCTGCGATAGATGAGACTGGGCAGGCCAGAAAACTGAAAAACAAACAAACAAACAAACAAACAGCTTAAGGAACATCTCCTACAGGAGCTCAGGGCCCTAAGCACTTGAGCTGCCCTCCCTGTCTTATCAGGCACATTAAGGAGATAAGTTGGAAATGCAATAGCTGAATTTGACTTGGCATTATAAGGGATGTCAGCAAAGCAATCAATGGCTTATCTCACTCTCCTACCTTGCTGGACACAGGATAACTTATAAAGAAGGGATGAGGCAGTTTTGAAGGAGAAACCTGGAACAATAAGTGATTGCTTAATTAATTCATGAATACAACTAAATCTTCGTCATGCCTTAACTGAAAAGAACCAACGATCAAGAGCCAAAACAATAGCCAACACCAAGTTGGCTTTTTAAAGATGCAATTGCTTATTGTCAAACGTTATCCCATTGTGCTGCCAAGCACTGGAACTATTTTTATCCATTGGTCTGCTTTTGTTTGATAACATGTTCTATCCAAACCTTTCCCACACACACTTTCCAGGCTGTTACTCGTTATTAGCACAAATTCGATGTTTTAGCTTTCACATGGAAATGAGAAAATGTCTTTCTGTGTGTCAGGTCACATAACTTAATCTTGTCCAGTTCTACCCATGTTGATGAAAATGACAGAATTTCACTGTTATGATGACTGAAAAGTATCCACTATGTGTGTACCACATTTACTTACCCACTCCTTTACGGACACTTAAGTTGCTAAATGTAGGTAAGGCTGTTGCTTCTCCACGTTCCTTTGGTCCTGTCAGTATTCACTCCTTTCTCCGCAAAACAGATTCAAACCTTGTAGGAAATTGTTGTTAGTAAAGGCAACAGCCATACCCATATCCCAGAGTTAACTACTGAACCAGGGGCTGGCGTTATGCTTCCATCAGCTAAGCTACCACTTGCAATGAGGACTACTAATGTCAGAATGTCAGTTACAGATTGAGCTGCCTCTACTGCAATCCACTTTCCTGACTAGTGTGTCTGGGAAAGCAACAAAAGAGGTCCTACCATCCACGTGGGAGAAATGGGTACACTTCCAGCCTCTGGTTTCAGCTAGGACCATCCCTGCTTGTTGTGGACCACTGAGGAGCAGCCAGGAGATATGTTTCTCCATCTGTCTCTATCTATGTTTCTACTTCCCTTTGCCTGTCACTGTCAACTTAAATATTTTTTCAAAAAATATGAGCAGTAATCATCAGAAATATTCCAATTGTACTAAATATCTGGCTGGACAGTACACTACAAGAGAAATCTTGACATTGGCAGTGAGGAAGAGGAGTGTATCCCAAGGATGATTTTGCTGAGGTCAAAGGGCTGGGGATTTTCCACATGTGGGGCAGAAGAAACACTTTTGACCTTTTTTGTAACAGCAAGGAGTGAAGTTCAGAAAAGGGAGCAATGGGGTAGAACAGCCACACAGACCAGGTGAGCAACAGGAGTCCCCACATGAGGGTTGGTCCTGGGTGGGAATCCCAAAGAGAGAGGGATTCTCCCTGGTGTTCGTGGAGACACAGAGTTCTGGATGTACTGCAATCACAGATCTTGATTCACTTTAGTGTGTACAGACTCAGGCCAGTGGGAGGAAAGGAAAGCTGCTGAGGCAGAATTGCCTCCACTCCATTCTGAGAACCCAGAGCAAGACCAGTGTGCTAGAATGGAGACCTCTGAGTTGAGGGATGAACACACAACTTGGCAATCCTGCCTGTGGATACATCACAGCACAGACTGGAGCTCCCACCACTCAGGAGACCTCCTGCCTGTCAGGGTCCCTGTGCTGGAAGCTGTGATAAGGATGCTTTGAGGTCTGTGGAAGCAGAGCCTGAAATGTGTTTGTGTGCAGAGAGGATGTGGCTGTGCAGCGCTGTGGATCACTGCTGGCACACAAGTACACAGAGGTCTGTGAGGGGGCAGCTGACTCTGCAGTGAGCAGGAAGTTCTCTTTGCTTGGTCGAGACACATTATACCCATCAGGGACTTCTCCTTTATCAGTGATGTCTTTGCCCACTGAGTAATGAATCAGCTTCAGGCCCTGCCCTGGGTCCTGGCGGTACCAGTACATGTTGTCGTAGTTCAGATCCTGGTAACACGTCATTGTCAGTCTCTGTCCTGTCTTTAGGATCTGGAACGTGGGTCTCTGAGTGACCCCTGCATGTGCTGCACCTGTAGAGGAGGAAGATGTTAATATTGTAGCACCAGTGCAAAGGATTAGCACCAGGACCTTGAGAGCCCCTCCTGGACGCACCTGCAAACAGGAGACAAAAGGCCCCCCAGCCCAGGAGGCTGACACTCATGGCAGGAGAGCGCAGGACAGCTGGGCCTTCTGATCTAAATATTGGCAAAGGGAGAACAGAACATGTGACTGAGTCATTCTGAGACTGCCCTCTCATTGCCTGGGACCCTGAGGCTTTTGTCAGCAGAGGACACACCCCTTTCCCAAGATGGTACAAAAGCAACATGTACAAGTGTGTGAAAGTGAAGAGTCCAGAACAGGACGAATTTATTTGAATTGACTCAAGTTTTAATAATTCTGTGTATATTGTTTTGCAACAATTTGAAGTACATGCATTTGTTTCTATGATGAAATGTTTCCTTATTATTCCACTGTGTTTGTTTGCCTAGATATTTCTCTATTCTAGAATGTTTTCTTTATTAATGACTTAATTTATTTTTATTTGAATGACAGGCTTATATAGATCAGGAGTGATAGATGTAAAAAACATCCTCCGTTTGCTGGTTCCTTCCCCAAATGGCTGCAATGGCCAGAGCTGAGTTGTTTCAAAGCCAGCCCAGGAACTTGTAAGTCTCCATATGAGTGCTGAGGCCCAAGGCATGGGCCATTTTCTTCTGCTTTCCCAGCTCATACACAAAAAACTTGATCAGAAGTGGACTATCAGGGACATGAACCTGCACCCATGGGTGTTACCAGTGCGGCAGATAAAACATTAGCCGGCCCCACTTTCACCACTTGCGCCAGCTCCTGTAGTCTAGAATTTTAAGCAAAATCTTTACCAACTAATGGTGTCTTTTCACTCTGCTCCTATATTTCTCATTCAAATACCCTTTTCTAATTTATATCATTATTCACAACCCTATATATGTTCTTTGCCTAAACAGTTCTCTCTGGTATCTGGTCTCCAAAAGCTTGGCAGCACATTCTTCCAGCTATAAGGGATTATTTCACATTCTTCCAGCTGTAAGGGATCATTTACTCTGTTTACTTAAAGTGTCTGACAGCTGGACCACCTTCCCCATGTAGTTAGGGCTCCTCACTCCCAGTCAGTGTGTTTGCTGACCAGGTGTGGTACTTCAACAGGGGAATCGCCTTCCAGTGGGGACAGGAGCTTTTGGCAGTTGGCGGCTGTTCAGTCTGCAGCTTGCTATCAATGCAAAGGTGCACAGATATTATAACAATGAGGGGAGATGTGACAGGCTGCAGAAAAAAGCAGGTGCCTTTTCCATGGGAAACAAATTCTATGGAGGTTATCCGACATTAAGTAAGTAACACATATCTATGAGCTGAAAAGCTCTTTCTTGTTGCACAGAATCCATACTCTTTGTTTTGGTTTATTTCCAACTTCCCTATAATAGTTTGTTCCTCTCTCAAGTGTGGGTCTAGGCGTCTCATCACCCAGCCTCTGTGGGAGTTAGGACAGAAGGTCAGACATTAAAGTTAACAACAGAGAGTGCCTGGTGCTACAACCACAACTGAAGCAGTGAATCTGGGAAATGGCAAGCTTGTGAGGATGGTACTTCTAGTCTGGGAGTCCTGTGTTCCAGGAGACAGAGGACCAGCTGCATGTTCTCTGATGGAAACTAAATCATTTGCATGAAGAATTGTTCATTTTTTTATTCAAGGTGTCATTATAAACTAATTTCAATGAATGAGGAAAGAGATGAATGAAAATTAATAACTTGAGCAAAATCAGCTAGCAGCTGGTAAGATTATTTGGTGGTCATTTCATCCAATCATCTGTCTCCAGATAAGAATACTCTCATTTGCAACAGATTTATCTGATGGCTTTAAATGTCTGTCAGCCAAAAAACTTCCCATGCTCATTTCTCTCCTCTGAGTATACACCTTTCTCTCCACACTATACTCTGTGCTAAAGAGGGAATGTTATCATGGAGGAATGCTTGAGGTTTCCATTAGCAAGATAAATGGCAAAGCTGCAGCACAGTGATAGAAATCATATCACTAGATGTCAGCAATGGAGAGAGACATTGCACAGGAGCATAACGGAGATTTCTTGGTGATGGAAATGTCCTTTATCTTAATAAGACTGAGGGTTGCAAGGACATGCAGTAATTATATAGCTTTAAAACTACTGACTTGCACATTTAATCTAGGAAATGTTTATGTAATTCCTATATCGGTAGATTAATTTTATGATGCTTGCTGCATCATGTGTTCTAAATTCTTTCATTATTTTCAAATAACTAACGATCAGACATATCCAGTTCCTTTTCAGTTACTTTTTAATTATTAACTTTAAGATGCTGAGACAGAATATATTTGCCTTTCTACAGCAAGAATGGTCCAGGATCTGTATAAGATTAGCAAAGAGCTGCAACATGCTTCATAGTTTATGCAGATTATACTCGTATGCATCCTTGGAGAGGGTGGATGGATGCTTTTATGCAACCTTTACTGGATCGCAAATATTTAGATAATTTAACATTGTTTCTGTGTCCCTAGCACCACAAGCCCACCCTGCTGATTTTGGATTTATCATCATTCCTATTTGCATTCCCCATTTCCTAATAAGAAATCTTATGGAGATAGATAGCTAGATAGGCAGATATTATTGTTTTGTTTCTCTGGAGAACCTTAGCATATACACATGGATAAACACACACACACACACACACACACACACACACACACACACACACACACACACACATCCATTCTGTAGATGAAGACACTCAACAACTTGGTGCTAGATTTGGACCTGCCTGTGTTGAACCAAAAATCCGAATCAGGTGTCCATGGAACTGAGGCAGGTCTTGTTTTCTATATCACTATCTCTTGGGGAAACTCATATCTGTTAATTATTTCACTACAGCTGTTAGATATGAAAGTAATGAAGGGTACAATATTTAGATTTTCATGATAGGTATTGGCATGAAAACACACTATAGAATAGAATTACAAATACACCGTCTAAATCAGGGTTTGATTTCCAGTTCTGTACAGTGCTAATTTATTTGCTCACAATATTGAACAGATAAACAAGTTTCTTGACATAACACCATTGATTAAATAATATTTGCCTGAAACACATTCTGATAATCAAATTTCTGATTAAATTAAAACTTGTGCAAGAAGGGCATTTATTTCTTACGTTGTCAATGAATTATAACATACTTTTCCCCTGATATTTCTCCACAGAGAAGTATTGAACCAAAAATATGCATTCAAGTCACCCAATGCTTGTATGTCTACAACTGGAACAGGTGAGAGAGTTATAGATGCTTTAACAGAAAGTCACTGATTATAAATTTACTATTGCTAATCCTAAGCAGCACATTACTCATAAAATGGAACATTATTAAGCTTCAAAGAGAAGGAAGTCCCACCAATTTCCACAATGTGGATGAGCTAAGATGACAACAGTTACTGAAATATACTTGTCACCAAAAAAGCCCAATGACACATGGTTTCATTTGTGTAAGATGTCTCAAATACTCACTCAAAAATAGAATAATAGACCGGTGGTTGCCAGAAGCTGGCAAGGATTGAACGTAGAGTTTCTGCCAAACTTTACAAAGAGTGCCAATTGTATGCTTGGCAATCATAATGAAAGCTGAAGGCACAAGAGATGGGGCGGGGTACAGTACCTGTCTCTCTGTTTGGGGACCTGGAAGGTCCTTGCAGGCCATGGGGAGATGAACACACACTGACTTGGAAAAGGCAGTTGAGTTTGAGAAGGTTCAGAAATGAGCTTTGTCTGAGAAGAGCAGAGAGATTGCAAGAGATGAATGCATCTGGGGGATCTGTGTCAGACTGTCCTGGGGAGGCAGACTGTCGTGGGAACATTGATATTGTCTGAGTGGTAGGAACCTCTCCTGGGCTTTAGGAGTTATCCAAATGCAGCTCTAGGAGACAGCATTGAGGCAGAGTCAAGAATTCCCATATCCTCAATGCTGGCATTGTGTGATGCTCTCAACTGGAACCAAATGCAGGGTTATGCCAGTTGCTACAACAGCTTGCTTCACCGTTTCTTTGTTTGAAACACTTTGAATGGAGACAGGATAGATGAGGTTGTACAGAACATGACTTGAGTCATTGGACATCTCAGTGGATTTTCAGGATTCTTTGATAATATTCTTTGACCTTGAACTTTTCCAAATTGTCATGCTTCTCCCTCAAATCCATAATGAGCAACTCAATGATTTTAAAAACCATTTCATACTATTAGAAGGTAAGCATGATCTAAACTTGAAATTCTCTGCACTACAAAAGAGGGATCTCAGCTATTAAACCATACATTCCTATTCAACCCCCCTGGTATACAGCATTAGTTGTAGAAGGGCATTTTTTGAACACCCCTGGTGAAGGAGCTGTGAGCTTTGAAAACATGCTGTTAGTCTTATTGGTCCTAAACTTAAATGGCAGAAATGTTCCAAGTGTCACTTCAGAACACAGACACCAGTTTTCCTGCCCCCTGTAGGGCCCAGGCACTCACAGCTGTGTCAACTCTGAAGCTGCTCCACCATGGGAAGGAGGTTTATGCACAGAAGGCTGGGGACTCAGAAGGGCTGTGTCAAGCTGCTGGCACAGAGATACACAGCTGAGTCCTCCAGCTCCAGGGCACTCACACTCAGCTCAGAGCGATAGTCACTGAACTGGTGAGCTGAGAACCGGTCTGGGACATTGCCTTTGTCATTCTGTTTTTCTAAGTAATAGTCAAACAAGAACTGCAGGCCTTGGTCCAGGTTCTGTTGATACCAAAACACACGGTTGTGCCCTGAGTCCGGGGTGCAATTCAGTGTCACTTTCTGCCCTCTTGCTTTGATCAGCTGTCTTGGCGTTTGTTTGACTTCAGCCTCCACTGGTCCTGTAGGAAAAGCAGAAGGAGATGAGCCAGGAGACAGGCTTGGGGTGCTCCTCTGAAGGAAGGTTACTGTTGAGGATGCAGCATGCTTGCCATGGGCTGCTCTTTTCTCCACATGACTCACCTGCTCCCAGGAGACAGAGCATCATGCAGGAGAAGAGCCTGGAGTCCATGGTACAGTGGAAGAGGCAGTGTTTTCTGTTTTCTGTCCTTGGGGCTCGTCCTCGTGGGTAAGGGCTGAGTTCTTGGATTGTTTCTCCTGATTGGGGGCTACCTTGTGATGTCATTGTTCTGATGTCATCATCTTTCACACCTCCTGAGGCTTAGTGCCCCCTACACCTCTGCCCTGGTTCTTCCCCTCCTGATGCCTACAATGCTTTCTGCTCAACTCACACTCCCTTGTTAGATTAGCATGGTTAGTTAGTGTGATTAAATTCCACATACTGGCTCTGCGTGATGCTGGGTTCAAATCACTTTTTCTCTCTCTGTTTTCCTTTCTTGGATAGCATTCCCTGCTTTTCCTTTTATCAACCATGATGCAAAATCACAGAGATGACTCTGTTGTTCCAATCAAGGTCTTTTTTCCTGTAATTCATTAAAGCAAAGATTCTCCTGAAACAATTACATAATTTTGTTATTTCATACACAGAATGAGCCAGTTATGGATTGCTCTTCCTTGGATAGCTCATGTTCATCCATCTAGACCTACCCTTGTTCAGTGGTCAGGCTCCTGGAACGCATAAATGGGCTCACTTCGCCTTCACCTCAATACTGACCTCACTTTGTAGCAGAGAGTAACAAGGAATTAGATAGAGATATGGAAATCAACTCTCCTGTTTTTGTCTGTTCCTTCTCCTTTCTTAGTAGTTTGTATTTCACAGCTACATTTCTCTAGCCAAAGTCACAGCCGGTCTTCTCCCAAAGCTTCACCCAACTGCACAGGCACCATAATCTCTGATCACTATTTAAGCCCCAATGTGAGTAAGAGCTACTTACTTGTACAACTTTTAATTGCCATGCCTTTGCAAAAACAATGTTACTCTCCCATCTCAGTTCTGATAGAAACTCTGTAGACTTCAAAAGCTGAATATGTGTTTTGGATGGAGTATTTTGCATTTTTAAAAGTAGCCCAAGGTTCAGGTGCTATGGCTCAATTGCTTCAAACTCAGTCTTGCAGCACCGGCATTCTGTGTGTGTGTGTGTTTCCTGGCTGCTTCATATTCAATTCAGCCACTAGCTTGCGACAGGGGGAAGCAGAGGCAGATCCAAGTCCTCTGTACCCTGGGTATCCTCAGTATCCCAGGGGTACTTAGAAGAAATTTCTGCCTCCCAATTTCAATTTGGCTCAGCTCAAGGCATTTCTGAAATTTAGGGGAATGAACCAGAAGATAAAAGACCTTTCTCTGTCTCTCCTCTCTGTAAATCTGACTTTCAAAAAAAAATAAGCACATATTTAAAAAACCAAAAAATATGATTAAGGAACTTAGACACTAAAGAGGACCTTACAAGAATCATGCTGCATCCTCCCCTTCTCCTTCCTCAGGAAGAATATACAGCTCCACATAGTTCACTCCAGATGCTCTTGCCAGCATAGTCTTCAACACCATATATTGTGTCCCCTACTGGCCCCAAAGAACAGAGGAAAAGCTCATGGCCAAATCACAGGAGACTGTATAATGGGAAAGGAATGGTTATGACAGAATCAGGGAGACAGAGAGAGAGAGGGAGGAATGTTTAGATTATGATTTTATGAGTGATGAGAACAATAAGAAGGCACTAATGTGACACAACAGATGAAGTAAACAAAACACTATCAACTACGAAGGCAAATATTTGATTTAAACTTCAGTTCATCAAGAGGCAATAAAAAGAAAGTGAACCAAGCATTCTGAGAAAACCTCATAATTTAAACGTCAAAAGTCTCCCGAAGGGATGGACATTCAGTGTAGTACTCAACACCTCCGACCATGAAGTATTGGTTAAACTTCCATATGTTCATAAAATCTTGGATCTCACTTCACAATCAGATTCCAACAGCACAGGATCCCCCCAATTCTATAACACTCTACTTATAGCAGCAAAATCTACATTAGCGAAGAAATGGAAACAACACAGATGGCGGTCAAAAGTGGAGTGGTAAAGGTTGTGTGGCACATCTACTCATGGAATACTGTTCAGGTAATGAAAGAAGGAAATTCCACTATTTGCAACCAAATGGTGCCAACTATAACTCATTATGCTCAGTGAAATAAGTCAATCGCAAAAGAACAAATAACATATATTCTCCCTGATATAGGACAACCTCCTTGCCAAACACAAGATCAATAGCCCTTTCAATATTGTGTTCACTGCATCTCAAGAATTTTGATATTTTTGTTATTGTTTCTTCAAAATGGTGTTATTTCTTCTTACTAAATTATACACTGACTCAGATTATACAGTAGCATCATTTTCTTCAAGAATGTTATTGATTTTCATCTTTTCAGTAACTCATTGGTCATTTTCTTGCATGTTATTTAACTTCGTGTATTTATAAGGTTTCTATTTTTCTTTCTACTGTTGATTTTGTTTTATGGCTTTTCAATTAATGAGACGTATATTAACTGCCAAATTGTGACAATCATATGAAGATGTGAAGCTACACTGCAGCATAATCTCCAGTTCCAAATCAAAACATTGACTCCCAATCAGAATGTTAAATATAACCTGACAATAGGGTGCTGGACTCTTGGCCGTTGTCCTAACCTGTAATGTCACTGCATGCTTAAACAGTCCTGTCAAAAACTGTTTATCTGTGGATCTCATTAAAGTACGGACTAATGCCCACATCTTAAACAGCTGGATAATTAGTTACAACTGAAATGGAAACACCTGCCAAATGTGGGCTCCAAGTCCATCTTCTTAACCCTTTCACATCCTGTGCTCTCCTAATTTCTTGTCCAACACCTCAGTCCCTCTGACGTTGCAGCGCCATCTTGTGACGAATAAGTGAAGTCCATCGCTGCTTCTTCTGCACTTTTCCTAAGGTTGCTGGAACTAGGCAGATAATAACATTATCTTCAGAATGAGGCCAAATTCGTGAATAATGAAGTAAAATGGAATATGATAAAGATATTCTATACCCATAAACAAACAACTATGGATCAGTATCTAATGGAAAATAAATGTGGATGGAAGTCAGGACTGGCAATAGCATTGTACAATAGATGTGCAACGTGTATGATACAGGTCTGTTGTTGTGAGTAGCAGGAGGGAAGAAATTGATCTTGAGGAAGCAGAAGAGACAAGGCTAATCCCATGCACCTTATTATTGGCAGTGTTGTGTCCATCAGTTGCTGCCACAGGGTCAGCACAGGCCTAAGATCAGGTGGGAAGACATTGCTGAGTCTGAGCTGCAGATGCCCTGCTCTGTGGGCAGCAGACCACAAGCTCCAGCACTCAGAGCTTCCAGAGGACGCACCCAGCAGTGCAGGGCCCGAGTCCTGCTCACTCTGTGCAGCATGGGAGCATGTGGAGTTGCAGAAGCCCCAGGGACTTAAGAGGACTGCCTGTGCCCATCCTGCACGTGGGGCTGACGTCTGTTCTATATCCCTTTGTGTTGAGCTGACATGGGGACCCCAGTTTTCCAGGGAGGATGGTTATCCCTACCCAGCACACCAACTGGCAGAGAGGCAGGAGTTTATCTTGGCCACTTCCTGTCAAAGGATGTCTAAGTTCCAAACCTGCTTCTTTGTTTTGAGGTGAGAAGATAAAAAACCACCCTCTGTTTCAGGTTCCCTCCCTCAGAGCTGCCAGGACACAGACGGATGAGGTTTGTGAGCAGGAGGAAGGTGGCAGTGCCACACTGTGGCTAAGCTGCTGGCACAGAAGTATACGGCCGAGTCCCCAGGCTCTGCAGGCTGGATGTTCAGGGTGGATGAAGATCCCTCGGGCCTCTTAGCAGAGAAGCGCTCCCCAGGCATGCCTGACTCGTCAAGAGCTTCTTTACGGTTGAAGTAAATCATGAACTGCAGGGCTTGTCCTGGGGTCTGTCGGTACCAATAGAGACTAACATGGCCCGACTCTGGGTCACACCTGAGAGTGACATTCTGACCCTTCCCTGTGACCCTGTGCCTGGGGTCCTGGGAGACTCCAGCGTCTGTGTGGTCTGTGGAGACAGAATTTGGACACAGAGGAAAGCAGTTGTATTTGTCAATCACATACATGTGTGCAATATAACATATTGTTGATATGTGCTCAACAACATGCAGACATGCATGGGCACACACAATGCACAAACCGTGAAACCGCATCATGTCTGAGGACTCACCTGCCCCAAGGAGACAGAAAACCATCCAACAGAGGAACCTGCTGCCCATGGCAAGAAAGGCTGAGATGGGAGGCTCCACCAGGTCAGGGTCCTTGTGGGCAGGAACAGAAGGGTAGGAGGGGCGTCCTTGCTCCCACACAGTGGTTTGCAGGTGACATCACTTCCTCTGTCACATTCCAATACCTCAGGAATGCGAGACTCACCTGATGTGATGGTTTGAGGTCTGATTTAAATCTTTGCTCCTTTTCTGTATGAGTATCAGTTTTTTACTCCACTGATGTTCCTAAACAAGAGTCATAAATCTCCAATTTTCTGTTCTCTGGGGACAATCACTGCTCCATCTGCAATGTGGCAGAGATACTTTACTGTGGAATATGAAGCGCGAAACCGTTCTCCTATTTGAGGAGTAGGATTTCTTGTAAACACACCTGTTCCAGTTGACGTTTTCGTTATTTCCCAGCACACACGCTCTAATTGTCTGTCAAATTCAGCTAATTATTTGCAGATCATATTTTATTCTGGGATCATTCTGTTTTTTAAAGTTCAATCTTGACAGGTTCTCTCAAATGCAAAACAGGGCGTTATTTCATGTATATTACTTATAACATTATTTAAGAATCAATATCATTCTTATGTGGATACAGACCGTGGTTTTTAGTTAATGGTTATTTTTATCCCCGTTTCTGATGTTTACTGAGCTCTCACCCCACACCTTGGAAAGTTCTTCATTTTTCCATTGTGACTGCTTTTAAAACCTCTGCTTTCTCATTAAATTCCTGTGATTTCAGTGTGACATCCTCTACTTGAATCACATCTCAATATTTAATGCAAGAGACTTAGGTCTTTAATTACCTCCAGAAACTTGTCAAATAATATAAGATCACCAATTATTTGCTTTTCTTAAATATTGATGATTTGTAACTCACACATAAAGATACATAATAAAATATGGAGTGCATTCTAGTATAGCAGAGGCCTCCTTCTTCACCTTTTCTGCAGTTAACTTTCCTTTCCTTGTGCGTGTAATTGCTGTACTACATTCCAGGTAACTAATTCATATCTGTGTTTGATAGCAACAAAATGTTCTTTAATCACATCTAACCTATTGTTTAATTTACCAGTTTTCCTCCAGGGAGTATATTATTCATATCATCTCTTTTTTGCATCCTGTCATGCATCAATTTCTTACATTTTTGTCATCAAATTGGAAATTTTCAAACTATCCCAATGTTAGATTTACAATGAAGTTCTGATTATATGTTCCTTTTTAATCATACCATTGCCATGAATTAGGCCTCATAATGTCATGCAGGAAAGACATTCAAAATATGTAGGTATCTCCTTGTTTCCAATTCAAATCTTCAAAAAAAAATGCGTTAGTAATCTGGATCCAGGATAACTTCTTTCATTTTTTTTCAAACATTTATTGTATGTATTTGCAAGATGGAGTTGTACAGAGTGTGAGTAGAAGCAGATAGTGAGAGAGATCCTCCATCCATTGTTCACTGCCAAAACGCGTCCAACAGCTGAGGCTGGGCGAGGTGGAACACTCGAACAAAGAGTTTCATCTCATCTCCTATAAGAGCTCATGGCTCTTGAGCTGCCCCTCCCTGCCTTCTCAGGCACACTAAGGAAATAAATCAGAAATGCAGAGTTTGAACTGGCATCATAAGGAATGCCAGCAAAGCATCCAGCAGCATAATTTGCTCTGCCACAGTGCTGGTTCCAGAGAACTTCTTTTAAGCAGGATTGAGGCAGCTCTGCAGAAGAAGCCTGTAGCAACAGGATATCACTGAATTCACAAAGATAGTTTAATCTTCTTCATGCCATAGCTGAAAAGAAACAATAATCCAGAGCAGAAATGATAGCCAACTTCCTGATAAATTGTTTGAATCATTTTATAAAATTCTTCCTGAAAAACACAAGTAGTCCACACATTGTGATCAACAGGATCAAACGTCTTGCATCCAGAGCAGCTGCAGACAAAATCAAGGCTTGCTTTAGAATTTTAAACCAGTAGGACAGATGTCCTGATGCATTTCTTCCAGAATTCTAACAAGAGGATAAAATGGTTTTACCAGGATGATTCTGAATTCAAATCAATGCCATAAAGGGAAGGGCATAATTAGTCAAAGCAAAAGTGATTGGCTAGTTAAAAAGCAAAGGTGATAGGGAAGATGTTTAATATAGCAGTTAAATATCTGTTTGACATTTCTGCCTTCCTGTCAGAGTCCCTGGGTCCCAGCACTGCTTCCCATCCTGCTTTCTGCTCATGCATCCCCTTGCAAGCAGCAGGTGGTTGCTAAAGGGGTTGGATCTATGCCACCTGTGTGGGAGACCAAGGCCTAGTCTCCTACTTTGGCCTGGCCCACCCTTGCTTACTGAAGGCATTCTGGAGTAAACCAGTAGAGACAAGAACTCCAGCTTTTTGCTGTGGCAATATTATTTGAGAATGCTGAACATGGTTTGCATGTTTTGAATGTCAGTTACAGATTGATCTACCTCTGCTACAATCCACTTTCCTGACTAATGTGTCTGGGAAAGCAACAAAAGAGGTCCTACCATCCACGTGGGAGAAATGGGTACACTTCCAGCCTCTGGTTTCAGCTAGGACCATCCCTGCTTCTTGTGGACCACTGAGGAGCAGCCAGGAGATATGTTTCTCCATCTGTCTCTATCTATGTCTCTGCTTCCCTTTGCCTGTCACTGTCAACTTAATTTTTTTTTAACATGAGCCATTGATAATCAAGCAATAATCATCAGAAATATTCAAATTATACTAAATTCTCTGGGTGAGCAGCACATTATACATGAAGTTCAATAAGAGGGATCTTGACATTAGCAGTGAGGAAGACGAGTGTATCCCAAGGATGATTTTGCTGAAGTCAAAGGGCTGCAGAACATCCACATGCCAGGCAGGGAAAACATTTTGACCTCTTTGTAACAGCAAGGAGTGAAGTTCAGAGGAGGGGCTGTCAGCATTGCAGACTTAGGAAAGGATAGGGGCAATGGGGTAGAACAGCCACACAGACCAGGTGAGCAACAGGAGACTCCACCTGAGGGTTGGTCCTGGGTGGGAATCCCAAGGAGAGAGGGATTCTCCCTGGTGTTCGTGGAGACACAGAGTCCTGGATGTACTGCAATCACAGATCTTGATTCACTTTAGTGTGTACAGACTCAGGCCAGTGGGAGGAAAGGAAAGCTGCTGAGGCAGAATTGCCTCCACTCCATTCTGACAACCCAGAGCAAGACCAGGGTGCTTGAATGGAGACATTGAGACCAGTACTGAGTACATGCCTGGGCAATCCTGCCTGTGGATACACCTTGGCAAAGACTGGGGCTCCCACCCCTCAACAGACTGCCTAACCGTCAGGGTCCCTGTGCTGGAAACTGTTTAAGGGTGTTTTGAGGTCTGTGGGAGCAGAGCCTGAAACATGTTTGTGTGCAGAGAGGATGTGGCTGTATAGCGCTGTGGATAACTGCTGGCACAGAAATACATAGCTGTCTGTGAGGAGGCAACTGACTCCACGGTGAGCAGGAAGTTCTCTGTGCTTGGTCTAGATGCATTATACCCATCTGGGACTTCTCCTTTCTCACTGGTGCCAACATCAAATGAGTAATGAATCAGCTTCAGTCCCTGTCCTGGGTGCTGGCGGTACCAGTACATGTAGTCGTGTTTCAGATCCTGGTAACACGTCATTGTCAGTCTCTGTCCTGCCTTTAGGATCTGGAATGTGGGGCTCTGAGTGACAACTGCATGTGCTGCACCTGTAGAGGAGGAAAATATTAATATTGTAGCTCCAGTACAAGGGCTTGGCACCAAGACCTTGAGAGCCCTTTCCTTCCTTACCTGCAAACAGGAGACAAAAGGCCGCCCAGCACAGGAGGCTGACACTCATGGTGGGAGAGCACAGGACAGCTGAGCCTTCTGGTCTTAATGCTGCACAAGGAGAACAGGACATGTGACTGAGTCATTCTGAGACTGCTCTCTCAATGCCTGGGTCCCTGAGCCTTCTGTCAGCAGAGGACACACCCCTTTCACAAGAAGGCACAAAAGCAAAATGTACAAGTGTGTACAAGTGAAGAGCTCAGAAATGCTCTTTACATCATTGTGCATCAATTTATAACTCCATGTGTTTGCCGTTTTTTTTCTGTGATGAAATATTCCCTTATTAATCCACTGTGGGTTTTTTTTTTTGCCTAAGTATTTCTTTAACCTAGAATACTTTCTTTCTTTAATTATTTAATTTATTTTTTATTTGAACGGCAGGCTTACAGAGAGCAAGAGTGAAAGATGGAGAAATATCCTCCATCCACTGGTTCACTCTCTAAATGCCTCAGCCAGAGCTGAGCTGTTGCAAAGCCAGAAGCTGCAACCTCTGGGTCTCCCACATGTTAGGCAAGGCCCAAGACATGGCCATTTTCTTCTGCTTTCCTAACTCACAGGCAGAGAGCTCCATCAGAAATGGAGCATTGGGAATATAAACCTTCAGCCTTTGAGTTACCAGTGCTGCAGGCAGAACATGAGCCACCCTAACCCCCTCCACTCTGCCAGCCACTGTAGTCTAGAATTTTAAGGAAAATGCTTAGAAGCTAGTGGTGTGTTTTCACTCTATGCCCAAATTACTCATTTATCTGAAAGCTGGAACACCTTCCCCATGTAGTTAGGACTCCTCGACTCCCGGTTAGGGTGTTTGCTCCCCAGGTGTGGTGCTTCTGCAGGGGAATCGCCTTCCAGTGGGGACAGGAGCTTTTGGCAGTTGGCGGCTGTTCAGTCTGCAGCTTGCTATCAATGCAGAGGTGCACAGATATTATAACAATAAGGGGAGATGTGGCAGGCTGCAGAGAAAAGCAGGTGACTATTCCATGGGAAACATAGTCTATGTAGGATGTCTGGCATTAATATATACATATATAAGATTATTATATGTATTATATATATTCATTTTGTAGATGAGGAAATTCAATGATTAGTTGCTAGATTTTGACTATTGGTCTTGTGATCCTTCACTTAAGTGGCAAGATTGTTTTCAATATCACATATCAGAACACAGACACCGATTTTCTTGCCCCTGCAAGGCCCAGGTTCTCACAGCTGTGTCACTCTGTGGGAAGGAGGTTTATGCACAGAAGGCTGTGGACTCAGAAGGGCTGTGTCAAGCTGCTGGCACAGAGATACACAGCTGAGTCCTCCAGCTCCAGGGCACTCACACTCAGCTCAGAGCGATAGTCACTGAACTGGTGAGCTGAGAACCGGTCTGGGACATTGCCTTTGTCATTCTGTTTTTCTAAGTAATAGTCAAAGAAGAACTGCAGGCCTTGCTCCAGGTTCTGTTGGTACCACAACACACGGTTGTGCCCTGAGTCCGGGGTACAATTCAGTGTCACTTTCTGCCCTCTTGCTTTGATCAGCTGTCTTGGCGTTTGTTTGACTTCAGCCTCCACTGGTCCTGTGGGAAAAGCAGATGGAGATGAGCCAGGAGTGGCTTGGGATGCTCCTCTGAAGGAAGGTTACTGTTGAGGATGCAGCATGCTTGCCATGGGCTGCTCTTTTCTCCGCATGACTCACCTGCTCCCAGGAGACAGAGCATCATGCAGGAGAAGAGCCTGGAGTCCATGGTACAGTGGAAGCAGTGATGTTTTCTGTGCTTAGGGCTTTTCTTCTTGGATAAGAGCTGAGTTCTTGGATTGTTTCTCCTGATTGGGTGACTACCCTGTGTTGTTGTTACTGTCCTGATGTCATCATCTTTCGTGCCTCCTAACATCTAATGCTCCACCACTTTGTCTTTCCTGTTCTGCTGCCTACAATGCTTTCTGCTCAAGTCTCTGACTTCCTTCTTGGTCAGACTAACGTGATTAGTTAATGTGATTAAATCCCACTGTACCAGCTATGTATGATGCTGGGTTCAAGTCAATTTTTCTCTCTCTGATTTTCCAACAGCATCCCATGTTTTTCCCTTTATTAAAAATGATGCAGAGCTACCAAGATGGTGTTCATTGTTGAGGTGAAAATATCTCTTGGGCAAAAGAGATATTATTGAAGATATTATTGAAGATATCTTTGCCTTCAATAATAACACAAGGTGGTCTGGTGCCATGACTCAACTGGCTATCTTCCACCTTGCAGGACTGGCTTCGTTATGGGCACCAGTTCACTTCCTGGCTGTTCCATTTCCCATCTAACTCCTGGCTCGTGGCCTGGGAAAGCAGTGGAGGATGACCTAAAACCTGGACCCTGCACCTGCAGGGGAGCAGAAAGCTTCTGGTTCCCAGATTTGGATCATTTCAGCCCTGGATATTTCCATTATTTAGGAAAGTGACCTAGCAGATGAAAGATCTTTCTATGTTTTTCCTACTTTTATAAATCTGCCTTTCAGAAAAAAAGTATAAATCATAAAAAAGAAAATATAGTGTGATTTAGGTTCTTAGACTCTAAATATGTCCCTCAAGACTCAATCTGCATCCTCCCCTTCTCCTTCCTCAGGAGAATATACAGTTCCATGTCGTTCCCTCCAGATGCTTTGCCAGGACACACTCCTCAACAGCAAACACTATGCACCTCTCTGTTCCCCACAGAACAGGGAAAAAGCATCATTGCCAAATTACAGGAGACTTCACGGTGGGAAAGGAATGGCTACGACAGATCAGTGCATCAAGAAAAAGACGAATGCTTAGACTGTGATTTTACAAGTGATGAGAGCAATAAGGATTGAAAGAACTAATATGGCACAATAGAGGAAGTAAAAAAAAACCATAAACTAAAGAGAAAAACATTTGATTTCAACTTTAGTTCAAGAGACAACAAAAAGAAAGTGAACAAACAGTGCATTCAGAAAAAAGACAAACTCAGAATGTTAATATCAAAAGGCTCACAATGATACGGACATTCACTGTAGCACTTTACACCTCCTTGGAAACTCTTGAGTGCCAGGCTCCTGGCTCCATCAAAAAACATAAACTGAGCAAAAAACATAAAACACTGATTACAATTCCATGCATTCATTAAATATCGGATCTCACAGCACACTAAGATCTCTTCAGCACAAGATCCCTCTGAGTGAGATCCTGTTGCAATTAAGACTGGGACAAACTCAGAAACGTCATTTGTGTGTCATGGTTGAAACAACAGTCTAAGGATCTTCTAGGATCCAGGGCTGATTTTTAACGTGTAAAGCAGCAAGCTGGGTATGCAGTGTCAGGGAATCACTTCTGTGAGACAAGTACTGGGAAGTCTGGTTGATGCTGGCTGATTCCACAGTCATGGGAAAATACTCCATTTCCTTCTAGAGATGCTACAGCCTTTGGTGGCATCCCCTTTGGCATTGCTGCTAACACTGACTGAGTAATGGGTCTGTCTTGGTCCCTGTCCAGCATCTCATTGCTTCCATAACATTGTGCATGGTTCAGGCACTGAGAACACTGCAGGATTTATCTTACTTCCTGTATATGTGATTCAATATCTTCATTCCTAGGAGATTCCAGCATCCACAGGACATGTTAGTGTGTAAGGCACAAGGTGACCTCAAGACTTCAGAAGTAGTAATGGATCTGCATGGAAAGGTGAAGGTTTGCAGCTATGATTTGTAAACCCACTCACACAATTTCTCAACAGAAACTAGAACTCCCTTTGTGCCAGGAAACTAAGGATCACGCAGGAAAAGAATGTTGCAGTCATGGCAGGGTCAGGCGAGAAGTAGCTCTCCAGTTCAATGCCGTGATTCAGGATTGATAGCTGAATGGTCTATAGTGGTCAGGCAGGTGCACTTGTGACATCACTCCTTTTAGCCTTAGATCATCGTTGGCTCAGTAGGATCAGCCTCGCCTCTGAGTTTGTTGCCCAGTAGGATCTGCTGTGAACAGCAGGTGTAGCACTAAGACTCTCACTTATCATACATTCAACTCTGTTACTTGTTCATGTTTGTTTTGGTTTGGTTTGTTTTGATGTGTTTTGTTTTGCTCTTCTGTTTATCTGCCCATCATCACCTCAAGGAAGTCCTGTCATTAACTGTGGATCTGATTAAAGTGTAAAGGAACGCACCACCTCTTAAACAGCTGAAGATAGTTTAGTTACAACCGAAATTGGCAACATCTGCCAAAATAGTGGATGCAAGCCCATCTTTTTCTTAACCCTTTCTTTCCCTGTGTTCTAGTTTCTTGTCCAAACACCTTGTCCAACTGGCATTGCAGTGCCATCTTGTGACGAAGAAGTGAAGTTCATTACTATCCTTCACTGATCTAAAGGGTTTTTGGAACTAGGCAGATAATGAGATGATCTTCAGGATAAGGCCAAATTTCTGAATAATGAAGTAAAATGAAATATGATAAAGACATAGGATATCCACAAGCAAGCAATTGTGCATCAGCATCTAATGGAGAATAAAATTGGGTGTTAGGACTGCCAACAGCACTGTACAATAAATGAGCAATTTATAGATTACAGACTGGTCTGTTGTTCTGAGTACCAGCAGAAGGGAAGAAATGGTTCTTGGAAAAGCAAAAGAGAGGTGAGGCCTGAAGACAGATGCAACAGTGCAACGATGTTTATGGAGAACACTAGCTCTGCTGGATCTACAACTCATTGTCCCATGTGCCCAAAGGAATCCTTTCCAACTCCAAGGACCAGCTCCTGCATTCATCCTCCCACACTGATAGGCTCAGCCCTGGAGTTTGCTCTTCCTCAAATGCCCCTGGACCAACTCTGTGTCCCTTGCATGTTGACAATGTCACCTCTCCTCCATTCAGAATCACAGATTTACCTCTCTTGGTTTAATTACCTGCCATTTTCATTTAACTTCAAAAGACATCTGGGCCTATGCTTTTCTTGGTTGGGAGGAGTTTAATTACTGATTCAATCTCAGCTCTTGTTACAACTCTATTTTGATTATTAATTGCCTCAGGATTCAATTTTGGTAGAGTGTATGAGTCCAAAAGATCTAAGTCTTCTGATGTGTTGGCGTATAGTTACTTGTAGTAGTTCCAGATTGTATCTGAGATATCTGTTGTCATATTTCCTTTTTGGCCTCTGATTGATTCATATCTTCTCCCTCCTTTATTTGATTAGTTGGGCTAGTAGGAAAGTTATGTT